GGGGGGGGGGGGGCGGGCGGTGCTTTCTCACTGGAGGGATGTCTTGATTTTTTTTTTCGGTCGCGATAATGTTTATGTTGCGTATGTTCTGTGACCCTGACTGATGATGATGATGCGTTGAAGAGTTTCACGGAGAAGTGACGCCTGGTGGCGCCGGAATAGCCGGGAGACGAACGCACACCCACACGACGACGTTGCATGTGTGCGGGGCCCCTTGGGCACGGAAAGAGGAAGGTAGCATGTGTGTGATGTTGTGTTCGCGCTGCTGCTGTATCATACGCTGTGTGTAGCCCATTGTAGTAGTTAATAGTGCGGTTGGTGTACGGAAAATATCAAGGTTAAGGTGAAAAGGGGGACGACTGACTCAAGGCAGCATCGTTGTCGTTGTATGATACCCCGTTCTCCTATGAGAGTTTATCGCTCCCCCGATTTTTTGTTTTCATTAACTTACGTAGCAGCAGCCATCCCCCCATATATCGCCAAAACACGCTGCAGAAAGAGAGGGGAAAAGAGAAGAGAGAGAGGGAGAGAGAGAAAGAGTCACCCATCATCGCGTCCCACGTATCCATAGTTCGCAATTCGCTTTTCTTTTTTTTATGTTTTTTTTTGTGTGTGTCTTGAAAGTTCTGCCGCATCCATCCGTGATGATGAGCGAAAACGAAAACATGTGCGTGTGGGATGATGCTTGTTGGTGCGCGTTATTTGTGTGGGGTTGATTTCCTGGGGGGGGAGCCGTCTTGCCTCTTTGCATACGTATGTTACGGTTAGTCTATGTCTGTCTTCGGAGTTAACAGTTGACAAGGCGTTTTCGACACGACTACCTAGATTTCGCCGCGTTCTTTGTGTGCTGTTGCGTGTCGTCGGCGACATGTGGTGCAATGTGCTTGCTTGTTGTGGACTGCTGGTTGTCCCGGTTGTCGATGATGATGATGGATGAGACGTAACGTGTGTATGTTCGCCCTGAAGGTGGGCGAAAAAAAAAAAAAAGTGTTTTCAAATACATTCAGTAGAACAACTGCTACTTCGTACATGATTTCTGCCGGCGATAACGAAACACAACAAACAGGTGACCATGGTCAACGATAAACATGACATCGAGCAACGTTACGATTGGTCCGAAGAAAATGGAAAGAACACGGATACAAACTCGCTAGGCTGCACAGATCGAAAAGAGAGTGGACATGGAACACGGAATAATACATATAATAGTAGTGTCATGCTCGCTTGGCTGCACAGATAAAAACGAGCGTGGATGAATCACGGAATAAATAATAGTACCGCCGAAGGTAACATTACACAAGATACCACACCCCAAGGACCGATCAATTCTCAAAGGTCGATTGCTCCACAGGTGAAAGAGTGACGGTGCCGAACATAAGCGGTAGGCGTTGGAACCACCAGTAGTCTCGCCGAGATCTTCCCGAAAACAGATCGTTTCATCTCGGCGAGTAGAAGTCGAGCTTCGAAGATGGGTGTAGGGGGTGTGGAGTCTTGAGTCGCCTACTGTAGAGGTGAGGCTCCGACGTAAGAGGTTGGTGCGACGATGCCCTCGGCCCTCTTAGATCAGAGCCCCCGCTTATACCGGAATAAGGGGGAACCCAACTATGCAATAGAGGATCGAGTCCGTGAGAACCTTTTTCGACCCTCTTGTATCGGAACCCCTCTAGTAATTAAGGTACCCTCTGCATCGGAGCCACAACTATGGCAGCAGTGTCAAGCTCGCTTTGCTGCCTTCAACGCCGCTGCTGCTGCTGCGGCGGACCTTGCCCCCGCGATGGTTCTTGTGCCCAGGACCATCATCAGGAAGGAGAAGGCAAGCTTGAGGCTGCTCTCGTCCAGGTGCCTGCACAAGATCACACCAGCCACAATATAAGAATGAGGTGAAATGCATTGGAATGATAATGACAGAAAAGAACAGAAAGCAAGAAAGCATCAGGAAGGAGAGGGCAAGCTTGAGACTGCTCTCGTCGAGGTGCCTGAAAAAGGCAACAGCAGCCACAACAATCGATTGACATGGGATGATGAATAATAACAGGAAAGGAAGGCGAGAAAGAATAGCACAAAACAGAAAAACAAACGAAAACACGTCAGGGACGAGAAGAAGCGAAAAAAAAAAGGAAAATCTTCGACGGATGCGGTGCACGCGGTCTCTTTATTCAGCGCTGTATGAGCGTGACGTGGATATATGTAATGATATTTTGTTTTTTTGCTATTTGCTGTGACCCCGTCCTCGCTCTATACTTGTGAGCGCGGAATGCGGGTCTAGGTATGAAGAGGATGAAACAACTGCTGTGAGTGACCCAGCAAGCATCAGTGGACCTGCTCCCTTCACAATATTTTCCCATAACATTGTTGCGTCGTCTGCAGCAGCAGCAGCAACAGCAGCGGCGGCAATAGCAATAAACCATAACACCAACCAATCCATATCATACTGCGCAATGCCATACCGTACCACACATACCATACCATACCAATCCATACCAGACCGTACCGTACCTTGCAGCGTATTTCCCTCCGACAAAGGCACCCACCCCGGTTCCGAAAGCAAGCGGAAACGCGATCCTAGGGATCAAGTTGCCCTACATGCAAAGAACGACATGGCCAAAGGAGAGGGGAGGGGTAAGACTAACACCTGCAGGGAG